CCACAATGAAGTCATTCAAACTCTCCCTGTTTGGCTGGCAGAGTACTTGCTTGGGAGAAGGGGGGGCGGGGAGAGAACGACAAGGAACAAACTGTCCCAAAGGAAGCCACCCACAAGGACAGACGTTAGAAGAAACAACCCAGAGACATTTTGCAAAGAAAAAGCCCACACACAACCCCCCTGTGTTGCATAAGGATTCTAATCTGAAGGGTGTTAACAGTAACTGATTTCAACACTTCCTTGAGGCCTGATCTTTCCTCTGTTAGCTCTTCTGAAGTGGTGGTTTGTCTCTAGGGAACAGTTTCAAGCACTCTGAACTATACCCACAAATGGGCCCTCTTTTTTTGAAAGGGAGAGTGAGGGTCCTATGATAGAGGATGCAGGGTGGCTGTTTTAGGGCTCCGAGGTGACATTTGACCAAAAGAGCATCATAAGACAAAAGTCCAGTCAAATGTTTACACAACACACCATACATTTCGGAAGCAGAATCCTGGTCCTTAGAATTTCCACCCATAACCCCCACTACTTGTGTACATGTAGCAAACTGCCTTGTATCAGGTCTGACAATTCTGTCCATCTTCCCATGTTCCCTGGCAGCAGCAACAGCTCTTCAGGGTCTCCGTCAAAGGACTTTCTCATCACCACCTACTCAGTCCTTTTATAACCGGAGATCAAATCCAGGACCTCGGCATGTAAGGCACATGCTCTCCCACTGAGCGAAGGTCCACCTCACAAACAACAGAGGCAGTGAATGGTGTTTTCCCCACGGAACCAAGGAACCAAGGAGAGTTCCCATTCAGATTCAATTCAGACTACCACAGAGTTCAATCCAGAATGAATCTGTAGGGGGGCAAACTCCCCATAACTGAAAATAAGAATGGTTTGGAGGTTCTCCCACATTTATACCCCCAGACATGTTGGATCTGGAAGCAGAAATCCTGTGTGTCCCCCAACTCCATCTGCTTTTACTTCCAGCTATGGTCAGAAGCCACTGGGTGAAACGGCATTTAAATCTCAGTCTCCCAGTGTCCATCCAACATGCTGTGCTTGGAATTGCACCGGCTCTTCTGGTATCCTGCCCAGGATTTCCAAGTTACAGAGTCAACAGAACCTGGGGCACCCAAGTCCTAGTCCGTTGTAATGTTCTTACCCCAAAATTGTCAGTTTTCATTTCATAGTGCAGAAAGTATTGATCTGGTGTGTGGAGATCTTTCTTATTCTGATTAATACAAGAGGATTCTAGAAGCTACTAGCAGCTTCTCTGTGTGAGAGAAGCAGGCAGAAGGGTCATGACTGTTTGGGTTATACCTTCTGGGAAGCTGGTTTGAAGGAGTTCTCATATCTCTTCCAATTAAAGTCATGCTGACTATAAACAAGGCTGTCTTTACCCAGGGATGAAAGGGGTGTGGGGCACCCGGGTGCTGAATTCTGGGGGGTACCAGGTGCCTGCCACTGAAGCTGCCTAAGCTCTTAACTATCTACCTGTTATGAAATAATAAATAATTTTGATCAAGCTAGGAAAACAAAATACATATATACCTAGGTATTAGTGAAATGTATACCAACTGTTTCACTAAAGGACTTTCGACTTTGTGCACTCATTTACCAAAGATGCGCCGCGCCAGCAGAGGTGCTTGTCATTCACAATGGTGGTGCTTGTCAGACTCAATGGCGCCATGCACACAAAATTAACTCTTACATCATAATAAATGTTAATTTGGGGGCTAAACTAAATTTGGGGCAGCTGGGCGGATCTTTGCACCCCGGCAGCACATATGCTAAAGACTGCGCTGACTCAGCGGCGTAGCGTGGGTTGTCAGCACCCGGGGCAAGGCAAGTAATTTGCGCCCCCTAACCCGTGGATTTGCGCTAACCCTACAAATCTATGCCTATGAATGATGGTCCCTCTCTCTCTCTCTTTCTCATATTCCAATTGATTCCCATTTCCGCCGATCGATCCCCGAAGCACTCACCCAGCGAAATTCGTGCGTAATTACGCTTTGCCATCCCTAATCCTGCCGCTTCCACCAGGAAATCATGACGGTGCATTTCTCCTCTCCAAACTTTCCCCGGCCCTTTGCCGGCCGGCGCAGCCCTTTTGGCTACGAGCTCCCCTCCTTCTCTGCCCGCTTCCGACCCCACCTCCCCGTCCAGCCTCCCTACCTCCTGAAAAAAGGCGATGGCGCCGAGCAGGACACCCCCGCGGCCATCAGAGAGAGGCGGGGCTGATGGAGGCAAGCCAATGGGCGAGGCGGGGGTAGGTGGCCACGGGGGCGGGCGCTGCCGCAGTCCTCGGGTGGGCAAGGTAGGAGCAGGCGGAGGCTGGCTGGCCGCTCTGACAATAGGGGCGGGCCGAGGGCACGACGGGGCTGGGCCCTCTGGACTCACGCCCCCCCCAGATGTTGCGCCCGGTGCGGCCGGCACCCCTGGCACCCCCCACGCTACGCCACTGCGCTGACTATAAATATAGGCCAGAAGGAGCCTGGGTTTCACTTTCTCTTTCTATCTCTCTTCCTTCTGGTGTGGTGTTCTGTACATAGTATGCTTAGTGTTAAATTTTAGTCTTGTTATAAGTTTATAAGTTTTGTAAGTGCTGCAACTGGATTTTTTATGGACTGTGCCAATCCTGAATGTTCTGGATTTGATGACTATTATGCTCATTTGCCTTCAGCACAAGTAAAGCTCTGCTGGATGAAATATTGCCTCTGGACTATTTTTGGGAAACTCTGCTACTACGTGTTTTAAGTTTTTCCTCCACGCGTATGACACAAATCACATCACTTCACACCACAACACACTATCATAGTGACTCGTTTGGAAACACTTAGGATGGTTTTCACTGAGGCTTGCTAACTTTATTCTGCATATTAAAGAGCAAGCCCTTTCTGGTGTAAAACCATTCAATCAGAACAGAATGAGGTGTGTTGGCTTTTGGTTTGGTTTTTTAAAAGTTTGGAACAGTGGTGGCCGGTGCTCATTAGAACTGGTAGGGAGGAAGGCAGGGAGGCCAAGACCAAGTAACTGGAGCCGGAGCAAATGGCTAGTGTAGTTAGAAGCAATTCTGCTCTTGTCTCCATTTGCTTCCTTGTTGAGTTCTACAAAAACGGTGCTAGGACTAAGGAGGAGGAGGCAGATAAGCAGTGCCACCCATATACTGCTAGTAAGTAGAGAGGTAGGCCGATGGGGGGCTTGCTTGCAAAACTGAGCTTGGCAGGACAGTGCCTCACTTGCCCAATGGACCACCCTCCACTGGTTTACGAGACATTGCATTAAATTGCACCAATTCCCTTACTAACAAGACAGATGCAGACAGCACACAGTTCATAATGTTCTGATTTTCAGCATTATCCCAAAACTTTGCATGTCCGATTGATCAGTTAATGATATTCAGTGTTGTTAAGAGTTAGAAACAGTCAATTCTGGCTGATATTGGGGTATAATTACAGGAGCCCAAAATAATGTGGAGAAGTCAGACCTGAATATGTAACACTGCTGTTTGCACTGAGTGTCATCAAAACAGCCCTTGAACATTAATAGGTTTTAAGTTCTCCATTTGGGGGAGTGGGGGAATGGGTGAAATAGATTTTTGAAAACCAGAATCAAAGAGAGAAAGATGCTATGTGTGATTTTGAAACAGGTTGCAACCTGGAGGAAGATAAATATCAGCTTTTTGATATATTTCTGCATCCTGAATCAGCTTGATATTCTTTGCCAGATAGCCTCTCGCTCTTCTCACTACAACTTCGCCTGAATGCAAGGACAATGTAGGAGATACAGGTAGACATTTCGGATGCAAATGTGCAAATCTATGGGAAAGCGGCAAGTGTTTACATTTCTCCATCTGCTCGGGATTGGAACGAGGACATCGCAGATCTCATCTGCAGACGGATGTTGGTATTTAATGTGATTTCCAACAAATCATTCCCAGCATTCAGAACAGCACCTGACACTCATTAGTGCGTTCCTCTTGGCAAAAATTCTTGGAAAGAGGCACAGTTCTTGCAAATATGGGGAGAGGTTTTCTGCCTGATCAAGGGTTCTTCTGAAATGTTACATTTTCTGGTGCTTAATTTCTTCCCCGCAATGGAATGGGAACTCTCCATCTCTGAAGAAGAAACAGCAGATTCTGTTTCAATGCAAGAGTAAAGGGCAGGCTTTTCAGCAATGACAGCAGGCAGGACTGTCTCAAAATATTTTGCTGCCAGAGGTGAAACAATTGCATATAACTGCTCTTCAGAGCTCTGAAGCAGGATGAAAGCTTTGAAATCAGGCTGATTTGCTTCAGAATGCTTAGGAAGGGAGTGGCTTCACTTTAGAAGCAGTCTGAATATGCCCAAAGCAGGCTGATTTAGCTCAAGATTGAGACTTCATTCAAAGTGGATGTACACACCTAGTATATGTGGGAAGCCTGAGCTAAGCCAATATTGGGGAGCCTCTTGGACCCCAGCTCCCATCATACATGACCGTTGACCTTGCTGGCTCAGGATGATGGACCTTCAGTCTATTAACATCTAGAGGGTCACTTGTTTCCTTATCTCTGATTTAAGGCTTCTTCAGTATGAGTTAAGCATCTCCCTCTCTCTCCTCACAGGTTTCCAATCAGACTTGCAAAGCCTCTTTCACATTCCCAAGCTGCAATTGCAGGCACTGAGCTGCAGTCTGTCCCAGAGCTGTATGTGCTTCAGACCAGCCATAATATTGTTTACACAATGTTCACAAACAGCTTCTAAGATCTTGAAGGGTGGTAGCTAGTGAGAGTTAGATCTGCTGCTTTGCTGAAATCTACCTATGTTCACAGAATAGCCTGAATATGGGGAGGAGGGAAAATAAAAATATAAAATAAAGGCTGTGTCTTCAAACTAGGAGGGAAACTGCTATTATAAGTATGTCAACTGGGCTAAGACAAGTGAAGGATAACAAGAAGGGCTCTCTTGAATTATTATTGTTATTATTTAAAAAAGTATTTAATAAATAAACTGCATTGGTTGCTTCCCAAGTTTCTACTTTTCTGTTGGTTTCTTAAGTTTGGTCTTCCTAAGCTTCTGGAGTGCTATGATTCTTCTAATATCCACAAAGGTCCTATTCTTGGTTTCTGGGAAATTCTTGAAGATATAAATAAACAGGCCTCCACAGAAAGGCAAGAACATAAGGAAGCTGTAGGTCCCGATTTTTGTCTAGAGATGAAAAGGACAGACTTGGGCATAATAGCATAATACAGAATTGTATTCATCCATATTTCACACACATATCATTCTGGGATCCTCCCCCCACCCCCACCCCCCAGAGCTCACAGTTCTTCTAGACTCATGGTTCCAAACGTGGGGCACAATGCCCCACAGGGTGGCAATTTTATTTTTAAGGTGGGCAATTCAAGAATGAGTTATTAACAGTGAATAGTTATTAACTATTGCAGGTTAATATATCACAGAGTCAGGGGAGCATCAGGATTTTAGAGATACTTGGGTTGGGCATGGTAAAAATAAAAAGGTTGGGAACCACATGTTCTAGACCATGTTCCTTCTGATTCTCTATCCTCAATCTGAGTTTCTGGCATAGGATAAACTGGAGGATATTGCAGTGAGAACCACAAGCCCCTGCCCATGCCACCGTCCAAAATGCTGCTCCTGTCTTGCTTGGAGGAGCTATCACCTATACATGAGATTGAGCACCTCCTTGGGGATGTTCTTCTCCACTACATTTAAGAAACAGCCATCCCCAAACCATTTAGCTTTGACCAAAGGAGTTTTCAGTGGTGAACTGCTGGCTACTTCTTCATGCTCTACAAAAAGAGCCCTTCTACAGGTAAGATGGGTCGTAGCAGCAGGGGTCAGCTTGCTTGCCTCACTACTGCTAGAGAGTGGGGAAACCAAGTGATGACTGTATATTGCTACTTCCTCCAACGGCAGCTGTTCTAACAGATTGAGGTTGAATCCTGACAAGACAGAAGTACTCTTTTGGGGGGACAAGAGGCGGGCAGGTGTGGAGAACTCCCTGGTCCTGAGTGGGGTAACTGCCCCGAAGGACCAGATGAGCAGCTTGGGAGTCATTTTGGACTCGCAGTTGTCCGTGGAGGTGCAGATCAATTCTGTGTCCAGGGCAGCTGTTTACCAGCTCCATCTGGTACCCAGGCTGAGCCTCTATCTGCCCACAGACTGTCTCACCAGAGTGGTGCATGCTCTGGTTATCTCCCGCTTGGACTACTGCAATGCGCTAGAAACTACCACTAATACAGAATGTGGCAGCTATACTGGTGACTGGGAGCGGCCACCAAGACCACATAACACCAGTCTTGAAAGACCTACATTGGCTCCCAGTACGTTTCTGAGCACAATTCAAAGTGTTGGTGCTGACCTTTAAAGCCCTAAATGGCCTCAGTCCAGTATTCCTGAAGGAGCGTCTCCACCTCCATCGTTCAGCCTAGACACTGAGGTCCAGTGTCTGTCTGGCGGGTCCCTCACTGCGAGAGGTGAAGTTACAGGGAACCAGGCAGAGAGCCTTCTTGGTAGTGGCACCCGCCCTGTGGAACACCCTCCCACCAGATGTCAAAGGAAAAAACAACTACCAGACTTTTAGGAGACATCTAAAGGCAGCCCTGTTTAGGGAAGCTTTTAATATCTGAAGGATATTAAATATTTTGTTGGAAGCCGCCCAGAGTGGCTGTGGAAACCCAGCCAGATGGGTGGGGTATAAATTTATTATTATTATTATTATTATTATTATTATTATTATTATTACTATTATTATTAGCTTAGGTACATGAGCACAAGGTTTGATGATATAAGAAGTGAGTATCCTTAAACCCATTCAATCACTGGAAGTAGAAGATTGAGATGTGTGCAGTAATCTGGAAGCTTTCTTATGCAGAGTAATAAACTCAAAGGCTTCACACATTCTACCAATCACAGCAGCTGGTGGCAAGGTGTGGGGGCCATGGGGTAATGGGCCTGGGCAGAAATTTCTGAGGGAGAGCAACAAGGCGCTGCCACAACAGGCTCCCTCATCAAGGCTGAAGCTGCAGGGAGGCAAGCCGCACTCAGGCTGGGGTTTCTAGGGGGACAGCAACAGCGCCTCCTTCTCACGGCTGGTGAAGGGATGTCTCCACATGCCCCACCCCTAGGCTGACCGAGAAGGAGGAGTGAAGTGCGGTTTTGGTGCACCCACCAAGGAGGGAAGGATTAACATCTGAAACTGATTTGTAAAGAGTCAGACAAATCCATCCATCTGAGGTTATGGCTTCATATCTTGGGTCTTACCTGAGGGCTGGGTGGGTGGATAATGGTGAGGTACAGAGATGGATGTAGCTCACTGACGCAAACCTTGCTCCCTGCATCAAGCTGACTATCAATATCACTCACCACAATTTGAAGGAACACCATCATCATAAGAAAGTGTGTGAACCACTGCACAAATCCCGCAATCACAAAGGCTGAGGCCCGTGACGACTGAAGGAACATTGACACCACAATTACATTTGGAAGTGGACCTTGGTGGAAAGAAAGGGTTCATGACATGGATCACTGTTTCACCATAGAACTCAAATATTCCTCTATCCAATTAATATCTTGCACATCATTTAAGGAGATCAGAACATAATGTGAGCAATTACCTGGCCCAACGGAGTGTGCTATGACAAATACTTGGACTAAAAGTATGTTGACATACGCCATCTCGTTGATGGTGACCTGTTAGTGAAAGTAGGTTGCATTTCAGTTATGTACATGTGATATTGACAGGTGCCCCTTATCTAGTGCCGGGGTAGTCAATGTTGCTAGACTACAGTTCACATCATCCCTCACCACTTTCCATGTTAGTTGGGGCTGATGGGAGTTGGACTCTAACATCAATGGGACAGCAACCACTTTGGCTAGAATTGCTGGCCAATTGAAAACAGCAGGTGAGACAGAACACCAAGATCTCCGTCTCTCTGAGTTGTCTTGCAGCATCTATATGACTTTCACAGATGGGAGACTATGTCCATTCTCAGCCATTCCCTTCAAGCCTTTGCACAAAATCCAAATGAATTGTATAAACTGAAGGAACTTTCGCTCAAGTCTCCTTCTACAGATGTACCCATCAGCATATACAGCCAACTTCCACATTAACTTTGTTGCTATTACATAGCACGGAGTATAGGGGGAACGAGAACGGGGCTAAATGACAGCCCATTTGGTGATTCTCAACTCTCAATTACAAACCTGCATTTCCAGGGCCATGGTTAACAGAATACAGACGATGCTGCACATCAAAAAGCCAACCAGAAGCAGATACCTATGTCCCTTAGAATCAGCGAGATACATCTAGAGAATATAAAGAGGAGGAAAGGAGATAAAGGAAAATACAATTCAACATAAGTTAGCTTATATTGGTTCCTGTAAAACTGGTAGAAAGCATTATTAAAGCTAATATTAGCAAGCATATGGATGAACATATCAGTGTGGCTTCTCTAAAGGCAAGTCCTGACTAACCTTTTAAGAGTTCATTGATAGTGTCAGTGTAAGCAAGCTAACGCAGTATAACCAAATTATGCATTTGGGGGATATTTTCCAACATCACACCCTGTGAGGACAGGATTCTGGACTAGATGGGTCTTTAGCTCATCTAGAGTCTCCAACAAGACTCTTTCAATGTTCTTATGAACATGATGGGTCTTTAGCTCATCTAGAGTCTCCAACAAGACTCTTTCAATGTTCCTATGAAGTGTGAGAGAGACCATTATGAGAGCAAATGAGGTGTGTAGTAAGTAGAGTTAGATGCAATTATTTGGAGTATAAAATGAGAATGCCCCATGCTCCTTGGAAGAAGGGTGGGATAAAATGCTAATAAAATTTTAAAAGCCAGTGGTGTTATGCGGTGTGGGTTGGACTCTGGTAGAAACAGACCACAAAACCAGGAGTGAGGGGCAAAACTATAGTAGACAAAGGGAAGAGAGGAAAACCCCAAGTACATAAAAGGACCAGTTGTATTTTATGCCTACATTTCTCAGGAAAATCCTGCCTTGGGAAATGTTTTTATGAGCAATTCTCATAAAGTGCACAAGTGAAATCACTGTAGTATTTAATTTAATTTAATTTAATTTAATTTACATTATTTTGTATAACATATAAGCCTCTTAATCAAAAATATATATATCTAAATGGTGTACATTAAAAATACAGTGGATGCTCAGATTGCAAACATGATCCATGCGGGATGCACGTACACAACACGCAGTGTCCGGAACCCACAGCAGCGCATCTGCGCACGTGTGGGTTGCAATTTGGCACTTCTGCACATGCGCGGCTGCCGAAACCCGTTAAGGTACTTCTGGGTTTTGGCGGTCCGCAACCCGAAAAAATGCAACCTGAAGCGTCTGTAACCCAAGGTATGACTGTATAAAATAATGATCAATAGAGCACAGATAGTCAGCAAAATTTTCAAAGCAAGTAGACTTTCTGAAATAATAATAAAAAGTTTTCTGTAGCCATCTAACACAGGATAGCTGTGTTTTCCTGCTAAAGTAATGCTGTATAATGTTGTTTATAGTTTGTAGTGGTAGTAAATGATTTCAAACTGTGCTACTGCCATGTGTGATGTTGACTGATGATACAAGCATTCTGCTAAAAATGTGTGTCCCTAAGGAATGATAGTTCTCGGTCATATCTGAATGAAGATACCCTTCACTGTGGAGGAATCCACATATAAACAACAGCTATTGAAGCATGGTGTGCCTTTGAGTTTTCACATTTAGCCAACATGGTACTCCCTAAATCTTAAGGACTCCCATCAGCTCCAGCCAGCTGGATGAGGAAAAGGTGTAGAGAAAGTTCAGTAAGTCAGTAATAAATAAATTAAGTAATAAGGTTCAGTTGTTCAAAAAGTCGCAGTATCTGAAGAACAACAGATTGGTTTCCCCTGTTGTATAGAATTGCAGCTTATACGGTATTTCTTTACCATAGATAATTTAAATTTAACTGCACTTTCTTAAGGGAATTTTGAGAACTTTGGTTCTTCTTCAGTAGGGGCTTCTCCTTACAGTTAGTCTAGATTTGAAATTGAATTGTCTGGATACTTTTTATCTTATAATTATTTTTGATGCAAAAACAAACAAACAAACAAATGTGGAAGCTGATTTTTTTTACCCCTTTAGATGACTTCCAATAAAAACTAGAATACAGGTACTGTGTGTAAATAACTATGGTTCTCTTACAAAGAATGGTCAGAGACCTCTCATAATGCTATCATTAAATAATTTTTTTTTCATGGGGCTGTGTTGTGGGGGTGGGGAGACTGTGGCACTTAAATTTCTTTCCTTTGAAGAACAGCGAGTTTCAAGATTCAGAAGGAAAGAGACATAGAAGTGGAAAAGGCTTACCGCGATCAAGAGTGAAATTAAGCCAATAATAATTGTGACCATACGAAGCCACTGCAACATCTTCTCATCTGCCCCTGCAGCCATGCAGATTATATCTACATAATAGTGCACCTGAAATCAGAAAAGAATAATCAATATTCTAATCTTGGTCAACCTTGGTCAGACCACACCTGGGCTGGATCCAGACACATCAAAGAAGCGTTTCAGGAAATCACGTGGTGAACATTATATGAGAAATCACGTTGGCAAAAACGGAACTCCACAGTGCCATCTGGTCTCACCATGTTATAATGCATATACAACGGATACAAAATGATATTTCTTTACCAATCTAGCTGCGTCTCTGGAGTAATGTGTCCAGTTTTGGGAATCACAATTTAATAAGGATATTACAAGCTGGAATGTGTGCAGAGGAGGGCGACCAAGATGATCAAGAGTCTGGAAACCAAGCCTTATGAATGGTTGAAAGGGTTGGATATGTTTAGCCAGAATAAGATTAGATTGAAAGAAGATATGATAGCCATCTTCAAATATCTCAAGGGCTGTCACGTGGAACAAGCTTCTTTTCTCCTTCTCTGGGGGGTAGGACTGGAACCAATGGCTTCTAGTTACAAGAAAGGAGATTCCAACTACTGTAAATATCAGGAAGAACTTTCTGACAACAACAACAACAATTTATTATTTATATCCTGCTCATCCTGCTGGGTTTCCCCAGCCCCTCTGGGCAGCTCCCAACAGATTAAAAACAGAATAAAATATCAAACTTCCTCCTTCAGATGTCTTCTAAAAGTCAGATAGTTGTTTATTTCCTTGACATCTGATGGGAGAGCGTTCCACAGGGCGGACACCAGTAACTGAGTAAGAGCTGTTTGACAATGGAATGAATCCTTGGAGGTTTTTAAGCAGAGGTTGGATGGTCAGCCCTATTAAAGAGGCTCCTCATGAGGCCGGAGGAACATCGCCTGACTGTGAGGTGTGGAGGCCGCTCCCTGCAAGGCCCTTTCCAACTGGCCTAGGGGGCGAGGCCCACACTCACCCAGCCCTATAAAAGAGGTTCCTCATGAGGTCAGAAGAACATCGCCCGGCTACTGTTTTATTGATTTAATATGCTGTACACCGCTTTGAAGTTTTTATTAAAAATATAAAGCGGTATAGAAATTTAATAAATAAGTAAATAGAATTTGCATGATTCCCAATCATAGAAAATTGTCATATACAGTTCTCGGTCTATTTAGCACAGAGCTGGACCATAAAGAAGGCTGATCGCCGAAGAATGGATGCTTTTGAATTATGGTGCTGGAGGAGACTCTTGAGAGTCCCATGGACTGCAAGAAGATGAAACCTATCCATTCTGAAGGAAATCAGCCCTGAGTGCTCACTGGAAGGACAGATCCTGAAGCTGAGACTCCAATACTTTGGCCACCTCATGAGAAGAGAAGACTCTCTGGAAAAGACCCTGATGTTGGGAAAGATGGAGGGCACAAGGAGAAGGGGACGACAGAGGACGAGATGGTGGGACAGTGTTCTCGAAGCTAAGAACATGAGTTTGACCAAACTGTGGGAGGCAGTAGAAGACAGGAGTGTCTGGCGTGCTCTGGTCCATGGGGTCATGAAGAGTCGGACACGACTAAATGACTAAACAACAGCAACTGCTTACACTGAATGGTAGATGCCTTTAAGGGTTTAACCGTTTCTCAGCCCCAACTGTAAATGCTAAGGAGACCTTTGTGTAAACCTAGGTCTTGGCTGGAGGGGAAGTTGTAGCCTCTGCCTGCTCTTCGTTGGTTAAAGGCATCCTGTTTGAAGCCCAGACAGGGAATAGGGTCATACCACTCCTCAAATGGGGAATCCTGGGGGGTACCCCTATTTGATGTAGGTCATAGGTGGTTTCTCCTTAGGTGCACTCCCAGCAGGCGGGCTGGCATGATATAATCTGATACAGTTTGGCTTTACCCAATGCCTATGCCAAACCACTCACATCTGTAACCGATAAAAGTTGTGGCCTATTTGATCCCATAAAACCATAAGCCGTTGTCTTGTCTGATTAACCACCCTTAAGGAACTGCAAGGTCATGGGGTCTTGGCACACAAATAATGTAGTGCATTCAACATTTCAGAAGAAGGTAAAGGTAAAGGACCTCTGACAGTTAAGTCCAGTTGCAGACGACTCTGGGGTTCCGGCGCCCATCTCACTTTACAGGCTGAGGGAGCCGGTGTTTGTCCACAGATAGTTTTTCCGGGTCATTTGGCCAGCATCACTACTGGTGCAATGGAAACACCAAGACCAGAGAAGCGCACAGAAATGCCGTTTCCCTTCCCGCCAGAGCGGTACCTATTAATCTACTTGCACTTTGGGGCATGCTCTGGAACTGCTAGGTTGACAGGAGCTGGGACCGAGCAACGGGAGCTCACCCCGTCACGGGGATTCAAACCGCCAACCTTCTGATTGGCAAGTCCAAGCCCAGTGTCAATCTTTTCCCCAGGCAATGCCATATTTCCCGTAGAGTCTGACTATAACTTGTGCATGGATGGAGAACTTGTGGTTCTCCAGGTGCTATTGCACAGCAGCTCCTAGCTATGACTGATGGGCACTGAACTCCCAATAAAACCCACAGAGTAGCTCCCTGAGTAGAAATGCTTTGGCTGTGTCTAAAGACAAGCAGTGATAATTGATGCCACAGCCTTTAAACCCAATGAGCCCTCAATTATCTGGCTCCACCTCCAAACTTTTTTTTTTAAGGGGGGCAATGCTTTGCTTACCGCACCAATGCCGTCAAGCTGTGCACCACCTGTCAAGACAACTATGGTGATGACCTGCGTTCTCAGGTTTGGAGATGATAGCAGTTTAGCAGTAGTCATGTTCTTTTCTGCTTTCTCAAAGAGGTCCTCCTGACGGAGTTCGTTCATTTCATTCTCCACATCATCCTTGCCTCTCAGCACCTTCAGTTCTGCATGGGAACAGAGACAGAAAGGATTAGGATTCAGTAGAATAAGAGTCTCAGAAGAATGAGGATATTGTTAAGAAGGAAGCGGGAAAGGGGAAGTCCAGAGGGTCAAATCTCTTTAGAATGTCTGGAAGTTATTTAAAATGGCCAGTATAGATGTTCAGCTAGAATATACAACTCTGATTGGTAATAATATCTAACAGGGGCAAGGGGATGTCACTGTGGTGAATGAATGGAGTTAAGGAAGCTATTCAAAGCAAAAAAGGAAGTCACAAAAAATGGAAGTCACATACAAATGAAACTAAAACTTGGAGAGTGGGGGAACCCAGTAGGCAGTAGTGGGGAGGAGTCAGCAATCATTTTGCACATTCGGCTGCATTCAGACAGTACTTTATTCCACTTCCAGGTATTTATTTACCTGATAGTTTATGTGACCCTTCCCACAACTTAAAGGTCTCTTCTGGATATCTAGCAGAAGGCTAGCATTCATTTCCATGTCAACTGCTTCCAGAAAAAAATCTGTTTGCAACTCCATTAACTTAAAAAAATGAAGGAGGTTTGCACTATAATTCTCACACCGTGAAAAAATTTGGGGTACTAGTTTGGCATACAGTTCTTTCCTGCCACTTTCATGGGTGAATAATAGGGGAACAGAAGCATACATGCACTTAAAGAGTGGTGACATGTCCAACAACAACTGGTGTTGTGTCACGCCATACCCATATTAAAGGGTAAAAGGACCCCTGACCATTAGGTCCAGTCACGGACGACTCTGGGGTTGCACCACTCATCTTGCTTTATTGGCTGAGGGAGCCGGCGTACAGCTTCCGGGTCCTGTGGCCAGCATGACTAAGCCGCTTCTGGTGAACCAGAGCAGCACACGGAAATGCTGTTTACCTTCCTGCTAGAGTGGTAGATATTTATCTACTTGCACTTCGAACTGCTAGGTTGGCAGGAGCAGGGACCGAGCGACGGGATCTCACCCCGCCACGGGGATTTGAACTGTGACCTTCTGATTAGCAAGCCCTAGGCTCTGTGGTTTAACCCACAGCACCACCCGTGTCCCTATACCCATATTAGAGAAAAGCAAATACAGTGGTACCTCGTGTTACGTACTTAATCCGTTCTGGAGGTCCATTTGTAAGCGGAAACCGCTCGTAAAATGAGGCGTACTTTTGCTAATGGCACCTCCCACTGCTGCTGCGCCACTGGAGCAGAACTTCCACTCACATCCCAGGGCAAAGTTCTCAACAAGGGGCATCTACTTCTGGGTTAGCGGAGTGCATAACCCGAAGCATTCGCAAGGGGGACGGTACGTAACACAAGGTACCACTGTATATTTCCTTTTGAGTTTGTAGTTCATGGATGTGCTAGTTTAAACTACACAAAGGCACAAAAGCAATCTAGCCATCACTTGTTTGGATGTATCTTTGACTAATTTAACTCCACCCCAAAAAGCAGAGTTGTTCTTGCTCTTCTTTCCAAACAAGATGTCTGCTGTTTTCTCTCTCTTATCTCCATTCATCTGGGTAAATAGCTCATACATGAATAAAGCCCCTGAACTCCAGAAACTGTAAACGATTACTGCAGTCTAATTGACCCAAGTTGCAACGTCTGCTAACAACCCAGTGGTGTGAATGAAAATTAGTTTGGCATAGCAGTATATCAATCAAAATGTCGCAGTTCCATAATGTTGCTGCAGATAATGCAGTAAAAAAGCTGTGCTATAAATAGGGGCTAAAAGACCCTCAGGATTTCATCCATCTCTGCAATTCTATGATAGAAGTGCTAGCTTTATAACCAGGAAAACTAATGCAATAATCCTCATATCTGAATGCAGCCATAGCACAAATTATATGGGGTTGTATCCAACTAAGTTCTACTCAAACTAAGACTACATCAGACATGCCCATTAATTTCAATGGGCTTACTCTGAGTAGGGCAAGTATTGGAAACAGCCTGAAACCAATTAAATTGTTCATGCACTTGCTTTCTTCTCTCAGTCACCGCTCAGTCAGTAAAGCACTTAATACTAGAGTTGTGGGTTCAAGTCCCATACTGCACAAAATATGCCTGCATTGCAGGTGGTTGGACTAGATGATTCTCATGCTCACGTCCAATTTTACAATTCTATGAAACTGCATTACAGGAAAATTGCCTATAAAGTTATCTACCACTTCCACTGGGGGACTGTGTATGAGTTCCTCAGAAAATATCACATGAAACTGTTTTACGCTGGCATCTTTGCATGTTTTCAGGCTTATTGTTCAGTATATACCAAGCCTGCCCATCATGCAGACACCATTTCCTTGTCCAGACTTTTTTTGCAGTGGGGCTGGGGGTGGGCAATGACATTGCTGATTGAAGCGGTATTTTACTCAGTTCCTACTTAAATATTTTTATTGGTGTTTTAGATACACTTTATGAATTAGTTGTTTCATTGCAGCTTTAATGTATATTTTCCAAAAATCAACCACCTGGTGAACGGCAGGACTATAAAAACTAAAACAAAACAACAGCCTCTAATAGTAGAGGTAATGTATCACCGTCATTACTAGGAGGCATTGGAAGCCCAGTGGCCATAAACATGTGTATAACCATTTACACTAATATTTCATATGTGTGCACATTGTAATGACATGGATGTGGTTGGTTCTAAATTAATAACATGGGAATATAAGCAATTATTTCAAAATGCTAGAATGGGGAGAGGTCATTATTCTGGCCAATGGTGGGTGATGTCTCTTCAGCCAGATGCGTTCTCATGGCTATGTATGATGCTCACAACTAGAAATCTCAATACAGTTCAGAGTATTGTACCTTCCCTTGCACTCTCTGCATTCTTCCTCTGAATGAGCAGATACCTCGGACTTTCAGGAAAGAAGGGTAGTAGTATGATCTGAAAAATTGGCATGACCCCAGAAATGCCCATCACAATCACGTAACCTGTGCAAGAAGATAGAGTGACGACAATGTGGAGAAACTGTGGCCATGAGTCTGGTCTCGTATAAGCCAAAGGATTAATTTATCTTAATTACCTCCTCGCATTTTAAAGTTGTCTTTAGCAACAATTAGCTGACCCATAAAGAGGCCTAAAGAATAAAATAGCTGGGACATCATGACGACAGCTCCCCTCACGCTTCCAGGGGCGATCTCTCCAAGATACAGAGGAACAACAACGGAGATTAGTCCTATTTAGTTGATAAATAAACAGATAAATCACATTGAGCATGCGACATGTACAACAATGCATGAACAGTCCTGAGGCTCCAGTAGGATGTGCAAGTAATATCTCATGTCTCTAAGGTGTTCTTTTGTAGAATTCTGCAAAATGTCACCGACAGCTGAGTGGAACTATGTGGAGGCATGACATCACACACCATAGATATGGTAACACCACCCAGTTGTAGCTCTGAACCAAACCAGCCCCCACAAGGGAGTACGGACAGGTGTTCTCAGTAGCTGCCTCTCAACTTGGGAATGTTCTTTTGTTGGAACCTGCCCAGAGCCCGTATATCTCTGAGAAATGACATTAAATCATTTAATTCAAACTACGGTCATACTGTCGGTAATACTAGCCAAACTGATGGTTTGTTGTTGTTTAGTCGTTTAGTCGTGTCCGACTCTTTGTGACCCCATGGACCAGAGCACACCAGGCACTCCTGTCTTCCACTGCCTCCCGCAGTTTGGTCAAACTCATGCTGGTAGCTTCAAGAACACTATCCAACCATCTTGTCCTCTGTCGTCCCCTTCTCGTTGTGCCCTCCATCTTTCCCAACATCAGGGTCTTTTCCAGGGAGTCTTCTCTGCTCATGAGGAGGCCAAAGTATTGGAGTCTCAGCTTCAGGATCTGATGGTAGTGGACTACAATTCATGTAATCTCTAACTATTAGTCATGGAATAGCTATTGGCTGGGACAGATGGAAACTACAGTGGTGCCTCGCAAGACGAAAAGAAACCGTTCCGCGAGTCTCTTCGTCTTGTGGTTTTTTCGTCTTGCGAAGCAAGCCCATTAGCGGCTTAGCGGCTTAGCGCTATTAGCGCTATTAGCGGCTTAGCGGGATTAGCGGATCAGCTGATAAGCGGCTTAGTGGCTTAGCGGAACAGCTGATAAGCGGCTTAGCGGATCAGCTGTTAAGCGGCTTAGCGGCTTAGCGGATCAGCTGTTAAGCGGCTTAGCGGCTTAGCGGCTTAGCGGATCAGCTGATAAGCGGCTTAGCGGCTTGGGAAAAAGGGGGGGAGGGGAAAAACCCTGCAGGAACTCGCAAGACATTTTCGTCTTGCGAAGCAAGCCCATAGGAAATTCGTTTTGCGAAGCACCTCCAAAACGGAAAACCCTTTCGTCTAGCGGGTTTTCCGTCTTGCGAGGCATTCGTCTTGCGGGGCACCACTGTATGGTCAAACAACACCCATGGTGGTATGTTCTTTGGGACAATTAGTATGCTAATTAACCCAAGGCCTTGGGATAAAACATATTTTATATTTAAATAATAATAATTCTACACAGCGATTCCTCTTTTCATATTTCACAAAAATCCATTTTCCAACTCACAGTCCTAAAGAGTTTCAATGCCACCTCTACCAGTTACTCCATCCTTGGTGACCTGAGCCACAGCACTGGTTTCCAAAGTCAGTTAGGGAGATGTGTGTGGAAATGAGACACACTGATACTGCTTTACTTGGTTCTTTGGCAGCCCACCCTCCCTCTGTTGTGGAAACAAACTATTGCTCAGTGTCTCTGCTCGGCTCAGACTAACAAGAATTCTACGCCAAACTACTAAACCTGGGACCTTGACTCACCTGTGCATACCCCAGTGTAGAAACGTACAGCAATTGTGAATTCATAGACATTTACTTTATTACCAACAGCCAATAGGACAGGAGGGATCAGACTCAAAAAGGTAGTTATCTTCACAGCACCTTTCCTGAAAAGACAGTGAAAGGGGGCAGCAAGGTGGGAAGATTTCAATATATGATACCATCAAAGCAGCAAAGGGGGGAGAGGAGCTATAGAAATACAGGAATCTCCTAATCCTTTTATAGATAATTTGTTCTGGGTTTGCTAGTGTTGTTTAGTCGTGTCCCACTCTTTGTGACCCCATGGACCAAAGCACGTCAGGCACTCCTGTCTTCCACTGCCTCCCACAGTTTGGTCAAACTCATGTTGAAAGCTTCGAGAACACTGTCCAAACATCTCGCCCTCTGTCGTCCCCTTCTCCTTGTGCCCTCCATCTTTCCCAACATCAGGGTCTTTTCCAAGGGTCTTCTCTTCTCATGAGGTGGCCAAAGTATTGCAGCCTCATCTTCAGGATCTGTCCTTCCAGTGAGCACTCAGGGCTGAGTTCCTTAAGAATGGATAGGTTTCATCTTCTTGCAGTCCATGGGACTCTCAAGAGTCTCCCCCAACACCATAATTCAAAAGCATCAATTCTTCGGCAATCAGCCTTCTTTATGGTCCAGCTCTCACTTCCATACATCACTACTGAGAAAACCATAGCTTTAACTAAACGGACATTTGTTGGCAAGGTGATGTCTCTGCTTTTTAAGATGCTGTCTAGGTTTATCATTGCTTTTCTCCCAAAAAGCAGGTGTCTTTTTATTTCGTGACTGCTGTCACCATCTGCAGTGATCAGAGCCCAAGAAAGTAAAATCTCTCACTGTCTCCATTTCTTCCCCTTCTATTTGCCAGAAGGTGATGTGACCAAATTATCTTAGTTTTTTTAATGTTGAGCTTCAGAACATATTTTGCGCTCTACTCTTTCAACCTCATTAGAAGGTTCTTTAATTCCTCCTCACTTTCTGCCATCAAAGTTGTGTCATCTGCATATCTGAGGTTGTTGATATTTCTTCCAACAATTTTAATTGGGATTCATCCAGCCCAGCCTTCCACATGATGAATTCTGCATATAAGTTAAATAAACAGAGAGACAATATACAGCCTTGTCTTACTCCTTTCCCAATTTTAAACCAATCAGTTTTTTTCATATCCAGTTCTAACTGTAGCTTCTTGTCCCACACAGAGATTTCTCAGGAGACAGATGAGGTGATCAGGCACTCCCATTTCTTTAAGAACTTGCCATAGTTTGCTGTGGTCGAAACAGTCAAAGGCTTTTGCATAGTCAATGAAGTAGTAGTAGATGTTTTTCTGGAACTCTCTAGCTTTCTCCATAATCCAGCGCATGTTTGCAGTTTGGTCTCTGGTTCCTCTGCCCCTTCGAAATCCAGCTTGCACTTCTGGGAGTTCTCGGTCCACATACTGCTTAAGCCTGCCTTGTAGAATTTTAAGCATAACCTTGCTAGCATGTGAAATGAGCGCAATTGTGTGATTGTGCAGTAGTTGGAGCTTGGGTTTGCTAGTAATGTGCGGAAACAAAGACCTACAGAAGGCCTTGAAACCTCTACTCCCAAGCACTGTGAAATTACTCACACACTTTCTTTACCATAATAAATTTCAGGAGGCATTGCTCACACATTTCCACCAGAGCTAGCAACCTGCTGCCATGCTATATAAGATCTCTTAATCGAGGGGTGCTGATGACAGAAGATAGGATCTTCTGGATGTAAACATGTGTTCTACCACTAACTTCTCGCTTCTTCCACAGCTGTATATTAGAAAATCTGCTGGTGTATGTTAGATGATGTCTTAAGAACCAAATTGATCAAAACTGCATTGGTTTTGCAATTGATCAATCTTGCAATTGGTAGGCATATTATGACTACCTTCAAACAAACTTTATCAGCTGACAAAGGTTTTCACGTATGATTCCATGGACCTAAATGGATCTCACTGTGTCTCTCCCTGCCACACACCCCTTCTTGATGTGTCTTTGTCCTTTCCTAACATCCCATCCAGCTAAAGTGATGATATTGCATATTTGATTAGCTGTTACTGGGGGCATGCAGATCAGCAGCACCTATCTGTTCCCCTTCCCCACCATCCTAGGGCATGTCATTCACCAGTTACAAATTTATCCTGATACCTGCCAAATCTATTGGCCAGATAACCAACAGGAATGGACCCAAAAATGGCTCCAAGTGGAAATAAAGCAAGGGTGATAGCCACAATGTACATCTGAGAACCTGGATCTTCCATCTCTTCATAGGTTGTTATGTTGAACAAGTCATGCAGGAGCTGAGGGAGAAGCACAATAAATGCTTGAGATTAGGACTGCTCATGTGGCATGAGATCATGTGGCAGCAGAACGCGAGAGCCTGGGACCAACTGAATGATGGCCAAGGATCTGCAGGCAATTCTGGGATGCCCAGAGAAAGTGTGTGCATGTCTCTCCCACTCACATTGAGAGCTAGGAGGCATAGGGTCCAACTCCTTGGGGCTGATGTCCCTTTCCCTCCTCCCATAGACTATTTAAGGGGGTCAGAACCCCCTCCCCAAGTTAATAGGCATTGCCATTCAAACAGTGTGTGTGTGCACTGCATCTTGTGATCAATTATGTGGGGTGGGACTTACCTGCCACACCATATTGTATGTCACAAAAGTTTTGTCCACACTTTCACCAGTGAAAATAGGCAAATATTTGCCTTTTTAAATATCTAGACTCAAAAGAGCAAGGAGCACTCTACATTTGTGTATTCAGCAGTAACTTGTCATATACTGGCTTCTAAAGCAGGATGCATTAGGAAATTGACTATAACTATCCTCTCTCCTTTCTTTTTGATAAACTTAAGAAGGAAATTGCTATGAGTCTCCCTCCTCTCCTCTCTGTGTGTGTGTGTGTGTGTGTGTGTGTGTGTGTGTGTGAGAGAGAGAGAGAGAGAGAGAGAGAGAGAGAGAGAGAGAGAGATTTGCAGCAGTGTCCTACCTGGTTTCCTGGTTTGGGATCTGGCTACACCAGTGCCAGCCTATGTTCCCTGTCAATGTATCCCAGAAGGAAATGTGGTGCTCAACAGAGAAAATGTCTCCCAGGCCAACAATAACCCCTGCTTTAAGAAGCCACGTGAAACACAGGGCTATCTTACCACAAAAGGGGTGTAGAGTAACCACATATTGTATCCATATTGTACAGTAATTAAGCAGGCAGCCATTGAAATCCAAATAAGCCTCATTGGGTACATCCTGCAGGAAAGGAGAAGAAGAAGAAGAAGAAGAAGAAGAAAAAGAAGAAGAAGAGAAGAAGAAGAAGAAGAAGAAGAAGAAGAAGAGAAGAAGAAGAAGAAGAGGAAGAAAGAAGAAGAAGAAGAAGAAGAAGAAACATAATGAGAATGTACAGGGCAGAATACTTATATTAAATAACTCTTGATTAACTACAGTTATCACCAAAACGTTTGTAGACTGAAAGATAGAGTGAAACATTAAGACATTATTTTATAATGACAACATTTGCATACTTTGGCTACTCCAGCTGAACATCATCATCATTGCCACACCATCTCCTGCTAGTCATGATGGTTATTATCTACTATTTTATTTTATTTATTTATTTGTGTTTAGTACATTTATAGACCACTTTTTATCTCCCAAGGATCTTAAAGTAGTGCTGCATGGTTCTCCTCTTCATTAAATCCTCATGACAACCCCGTGTGGTAGGTTGGCCTAAGAGATGGTGGCTGGCCCTAGGTCAAGGCTGAGTGGGGATTTGAACCCTCCTCTCCTAGGGTGCTACCCCAACACTCTAACCATTACGCCACAATGGCGCTACACTTTTGGAGTCAGAGAATACCAGTTTCTGGAAACCACAGGAGGGGAGAGTGTTGCACTCAGGTCTTGCTTGGGGGCTTCTCATCAGAATCTGGTTGGTTCAGTGAGAATGGGATGCTGGCCTGATCCAGCAGGTTCTTATTATCAGCATAACAACCATTAACTTGGGCCTTTGAACGGCTTACCACCATATTAAAATCCATAATACAACCAAGTTAAAAACAAAGAAATATACCAGTGGTATATATATGGTAAGGGACACGGGTGGTGCTGTGGTCTAAACCACAGAGCCTAGGGCTTGCAGATCAGAAGGTCGGCGGTTTCGAATCCCCGCAATGGGGTGAACTCCTGTTATTTGGTCCCAGCTCTTGCCAACCTAGCAGTTCAAAAGCACGTCAAAGTGCAAGTAGATAAATAGGTACCGCTCCGGAGGGAAGGTAAACGGCGTTTCCGTGCGCTGCTCTGGTTTCGCCAGAAGTGGCTTAGTCATGCTGGCCACATGACCCGGAAGCTGTACGCCGCAACCCCAGAGTCGTCCGTGACTGGACTTAATGGTCAGGGGTACCTTTACCTTTAAGGTAAAAAGTGCTTACCAGTGGTAAACAGCACAAATGCAAGGTAAAAGCATCCAAAAGTCAGAGCAAACCAAACAACTTAAAGTCAACTTAACTGTACCCTAAAACCATGATAGGGAATTGACTGTAGTTCAAATAGACAGGCTTGTTTGATTTTAAATTTAAGAGCCCGGAAGAATACAGAGACATTAACTTGCTGCCTAAAAGGGGACTCTCTGTGGGAAGGGCATTCCCCTGACAAGTTCCTTATTAAACAAAACAAAACAAAAAAATGAAAAAAGGACAAAAGAAAGCACCAATTATGTGTCATTGAGGTATATGATCTGCTGTCCATCCTTGATATTTGCAGATGGTCATAAACTTTTAAATATAGTAAATTGAATCCAGGTTTGGTTATACTTGCAGTCTACCCATCAGATTACTCTAAGCATGAGTAAGCCTGCAACCCAACCCTCCGTGGTCCTCCGTGGTGGAGAAACAGGTGGAGCTCACATCTCCCTCCACCCCCACACCCCATAATGGCTCTCTCGCCCTGCTGCTGCACAGCTTTCCGTTCCATTCACTGTGGTCAGGTGGAAGCAAAATTGATGGGATCCTTGCTTAGTGTAGGTGAGGAGGGGATGAGATAGTTCAGCATCCACTGAATCCCATGCTGGCCCTACTGCTGTCGCTTGATGGCATCTGGCCTGATCTATGCCCAAATGCCAGGTTATCTCCAGGGTGGGGTAATACAGAGCAGGCTTTTTCCTTCCCCCAGCCTTCTGATCCAGCCAGCAATGATGGAGGAACTAGGCAGCTTCATCTTGCCCTACTGCTACTCTGCTTGGGTTTGGATTGCTCCGGAAGTCTGAATGCCACTTAAAGTACTGTATGCTATATCGTACAATTGGTTTACATCCCTGTCTGAACCTTGGGAAACAATTACATAACAACATGGGTTTTCAGTTTTTATAAACTCAGTGGATTCTACAGATTCTTCAAGCTCACCTCACGACTGGTTGCTGCAATGGGTGCAATGGGTGCACTGAGTTCACTGGGTTCACTGGGTTCACTGGGTTCATTGGGTGCACTTGGTTTACTTGGTTTACTGGGTTTACTTGGTGCACTGGGTTTCCTGGGTGAAGTGGGTGAAGTGGGTGCAGCGGGTGCAGCGGGTGCAGCAGGTGCTTTGGGTGTTCTGGGTGCTTTGGATGCCACCTGTGTTTTCTTCATGGTTTCTTTTTGAGAGTCGGGGGAAATGGCTGACCTGTTAGAGAATAGGAGAGTGCTGTTGACAGAACATAAGTACAGAAGAGGATCAGACCAGCATTGCAATTCCAGCAGCAGCCTGCCAGATATCTGCACGAAGGTTACAATCAAGGCATGGAAGTGTGACTGGCTGTGCTTTTGTTTTATTTTGTGTCTTGCAACATGTCCCTGCTCTACAGCCTCTGAAGTTGTTCCATTTATGCATTAGGGCTAGCAGTCACTGAAAGACCTGGCCTCCTCCACGAGCTCCTTAATCCCCACCTCCTCTCTCAAAAGGTCCTCTAATCTAAGGGTTACCACCAGTGGTACAGTGGAAGGGAAATTTAGGACAATGAAGAAGCCTACATTTTTGGCCATGCCTAGGAGGGTGGTTATGGGGGTCTCCTACACTGATTTGCCACTACCCCAGTGGCCATCACCACATCTTTTTTGAGTTGAAATATTGTGGGAAGCAATTGCTTTGGTCCTTGAACACTGATTATTTGAACATTTCAACAAAGCCCGAAGCTGTAGAGAGTTCATGTGCTGCTATTGCCTTGATTACGTCCGTAGATTGTTTAACTAGCCAAAGGCCTAGGTGAAGAAAGGCCTTTATGCATTCTCTCCTCTACATCATTTTCTTGGATATGTACTCTCAAAGAGTTGAACATCTCACCAAATGGGATGGCACCCTTCTTAACAGCTGCTGAAGGATCAAGGTCAGATGAATTGTCTCCTACCTCAGTTCACGTGGCAGCCAGGCCTGTAGCATTCCTCCAAACCTACTTACAAGTAGCCTCTAAAGGGAGCTCTATTGTTTCTTATTTCCCACTCATCACCTGGAGAATCCTTGTGGTATTGCATAAGACCTATACTGACTGTTCCCCACTTCTGGGCAGGGTGATGGCGGTCAACCAGGTCATTACTATGTAGTTGCTTAGGTTGTGTACTCACCTGGACTAGGGTTCACAGCCACAGTGAGGTCCTGTTGGGTCTCCAGTGCCGTATCCACCAGTATCACATCAGAAACAGCTGCATCTAGGGCAACCTTATTGGTTCAGCTGCAGCTGAATGAACTGAAACATCAAGTCAAGATTCAATTTGTAGCTGGTGCTTTGCACTCTTAATCTCAGACCTCTTAGCTTGAGGTTTTTCCACTAGCTGCCTTTTTCATTACTGAGGCTATGCAAAGACTCCAAACATTCTGTGGTCCTTCTTCATCTCTCTCTGTGTGTCAGCTGCTTTTCATGTTTTCCCCATGACTTCTGGGACTACACTAGTCTTTCCACATTTGTCCCACCAGCACATCCCATTTTTTCGTGCAGCCATTTTTGGCGCTGGGATCTCACCCCAATAAAAATGGGGCTGTGATCTTGTGCAGTGCCCCAAAACATGGGTTTCTGGCTGCCGTGTTGTGCTGCCAGAGTACGGCCCTGAAAAAAACATGTCTTTGGGGCTCCAAGATCTCAAACTAGTCACGCCCAAGTTTTGGGACCCAGCATGTTGGAGGGTATGCCATCCTAGAAATTTTAAATACCATAGAAAACCCCAAATTAACAAATGGCAAGTCCAAAATACCAAGCGGAAATGAAAGGGGGGGGACATAGAAACCATGCTGAATCCATGGCAGACACACTCCTCTGTCTGCTGGGGGGAGGGGGACAAAAACAGGAAACACCAATAAATGCTCCAGAATGCAAAGTGTTCAGAAAGTGGGCAGGGTAGGTTTAAATAGCTTCCACCCAGAGCCTCTCCCCCAGAGATAATGAAGCTACAATGTCAGGATGCTGTCCACAGTTCCCGGCTGGTTGCCCAGGAAATTATAAAGACAAGGAAACATTTCTTACCGTCCTTCTTTATTTCAATCTTCACAGAGAGAGGCTATAGAACCCAGCTTCTTGGATAATGGCGTTGTCCCGAATGAATCTCCACCCCCCTACCACTTCCTCAATTGTCATTCTCATCATCTCCTCTAAAGGTGCTGCTATGTGCCCTGTGTCTTTGAGCTCTTTGCTCTCCTACTTTTAAGGCTCGCCAGGTTCTGGGAGATGGAGGGTCTGGGATGCTTTCTAAAGCCGTGTCAGCTGGGTGGTGTTCCAGCTCTCCTATGATTTCACAGCTTTCCCCCTCATCTACCTCTGAGCTGCGACCTCCCTCAAACCCCTGTTGTAAATCTATACTGTCTTCCTCTTCTTCCTCCCTGGAAGGGTCAGGATGAGGAGGTGGCCACGCCAACCTCTGTAGGGGAGTTTTGATAGAAATATTTGAGGGTGAGCAGGCAAAAAGCACTCAAACTTACAGTCGTTTTCTATTACCGGCAAGTTGAAGAATAATTGAGCCACACCCTAAATTCTTTTGAAATAAGCCAAATGGAACTCTTAGCAGTGTTGCAGGAGCCAATTGGGGGAGGATGTTGGAAGGTTCTAGAAGAAACAGTTGACAGTTGAGAACCAAGATGATGCATAATCACTGTGTACAAAGGAGACTGGTTTAGAATCGTACTCTCACAATCATTTAATGTGGATTAATTACTGGTGTGAGAAAGTAAGAATAGCATAGTGGCAAAATGAGTGTTTCTGTTCCAATGCAGGCTTTTCAGCAATGACAGCAGGCAGGACCGTCTCAAAATATTTTGCTGCCAGAGGTGAAACAACAATTGCTTCTAACTGCTCTTCAGAGCTCTGAAGCTTTGGAATCAGGCTGATTTGCTTTAGACTGCAGTGGCTTCACTTTAGAAGCAGTCTGAATATGCCCAAAGCAGGCTGCTTTAGCTCCAGATTGAGACTTCATTCAAAGTGGATGTACAGCCCTGGTATATATGGGCAGCCTGAGTTAAGCCAAGATTGGGGAGCCTCTTGGACCCCAAGTCCCATCATACATGACTACTGGCCTTGCTGGCTTGGGATGATGGACCTTCAGTCTAATAACATCTCTAGAGGGTCACTTGTTTCCTCATCTCTGATTTAAGGCTTCTTCAGTATGAGTTAAGCATCTCCCTCTCTCTCCTCACAGGTTTCCAATCAGACTTGAAAAGCCTCTTTCACATTCCCAAGCTGCAATTGCAGCCATTGAGCTGCAGTCTGTCCCAGAGCTGTATGTGCTTCAGACCACCCAGAATATTGTTCACACAATGTTCACAAACAGCTACTAAGACCTGGAAGGGTGGTAGCTAGTGAGGTTTAGATCTTCTGCTTTGTTGAAATCTACCTACGTTCACAGAATAGCCTGGATATGGAGGGAGGGGGGAGATAAACATTAAAATAAAGGCTGTGCCTTCAAACCAGGAGGGAAACTGCTATTATAAGTATGTCAACTGGGCTAAGACAAGTAAAGGATAGCAAGAAGGGCTCTCTTGAATCATTATTAAACACAATTTAATAAATAAACTGCATGGGTTGCTTCCCAAGTTTCTACTTTTCTGTCGGTTTCTTAAGTTTGGTCTTCCTAAGCTTCTGGAGTGCTATGATTCTTCTAATATCCACAAAGGTCCTATTCTTCGTTTCTGGGAAATTCTTGAAGAGGAAAAAAAACAGGCCTCCACAGAAAGGGAAGAACATAAGGAAGCTGTAGGTCCCGATTTTTACCTGGAGATGAAAAGGACAGACTTGAGCATAATAGAGAATTGTATTCATCCATATTTTGCACACATATCATTCTGGGATCCTCCCCCACCCAGGAGCTCAAAGTGCTTCTAGACTCGTAGTTCCCATCGTGGGGCACACACCCGACAGGGAGGCAATTTGAATTTTGGGGGGGGGGGCAATTTTAGAATGAATTATTAACAGTGAATAGATATTAACTATTTTAACATGTGAATATGACTTCACTTTTAGAATAATAAGAGTAATATGTCAAGTGGGGGGAGCATCAGGATTTTACAGATGCTTAGGTGGGGCATGGCCAAAAAAAGGTTGGGAAACACGTGTTCTACACGGTGCTCTGCTGACACTTCATTGAGGCTCCTTCTGATTCTCTATCCTCAGCCTGAGTTTCTGGCATAGGATAAGCTGGAGGATATTGCAGGGGGGAATCACGAGCCCCTGCCCATGCCACCGTCCAAAATGCTGCTCCTGTCTTGCTTGGAGGAGCTATCAGGACCATTGTTAAATGTGATCATCTCACCTATACCTAAGAGTGAGTACCTCCTCAAGGATGGTCTTCTCCACTACATTCAACAAACAGCCATCCCCAAACCCTTTAGCTTTGACCAGAGGAGTTTTCAGTGGTGAACTGCTGGCTACTTCTTCATGCTCTACAAAAAGAGCCCTTCTACAGGTAAGATGGATCGTAGCAGCAGGGGTCAGCTTGCTTGCCTCACTACTGCTAGAGAGTGGGGAAACCAAGTGATGACTGTATATTGCTACTTCCTCCAACAGCAGCTGTTCTTTTGAGCTTAGGATACACAAGCACAAGGTTTGATGATATAAGAAGTGTGTATCCTGCAACCCACTCAACTACTGGAAGTAGAGGATTGAGATGTGTGCAGTAGGCTGGAAGATTTCTTATGTAGAGTAGTAAACTCAGAGGCTTCACACATTCTACCAATCCCAGCAGCCAGTGGCATAGTGTGGGGGCAGGTGGTGCATGGAGAAAATTTCTGAAGGAGAGCAACCAGGCGCTGCCACAACAGGCTCCCACCTCAAGGCGGGAGCTGTGGGGAGGCAAGCCACACCCAGGCTGGGGTTATGGGGTGCATCGACAGCAGCGTCTTCTTCTCCTCACGGCTGGTGAAGGGATACCCCCACATGCCCCACCCCTGGGCTGACCGAGAAGGAGAGGGGAAGGGCGGTTTTAGTGAGCCCACCAAGGAGGGAGGGAGGAAGAGGAAGGGGGAAAGGCAATTATGGAGCCACGTTTGTTGCCCAGAACACCTTTTTCCAAGGACAGGAGGGCAAGGCAACACAGCGGTGCTCTTGGCTTTGCATTTCTCTGCCTTATCTCTACACCCAAGTTGGGACTACTTTGCAAGGAGAGATTGATTAGATCCCTTGATTAGATACTGGCCAGCAAAGAGACTGACCAATGCCCAGTTCAGAGAGTTGCAACACTTGCCCCGTCCTGGGCACCAGCAACCCACGCTATGCCACTGACAGAAGCTGAAGTTACATACTCCTTATTCCCTTCCATATCTGTAGTGGGCTTGAGCACATACAGTCTACAGTAGCTCTGACCCTTTGGCTAAAGCAGTTCCTGGTTAAGGCCCAGACCACCTGACAGCAGACAAAGATGAACACATGAAACTGCTTTGTACGGAGTCAGACAACTTGCCCAACCAGTTCAGAACACTGCCTGGCAGCAGGTCCTTAGAGAGAGGTCTTTTCCAGGAGATACCAGAGATCAGGTCTGGGACTTTCTGCATACAAAACTATGGCTCCTTTCCTGAAAGCAAGAGCAATATGCTCAAGGCTAAGCAGTGGTTTTCATGGCCAACTGGGCATTTGAATATTGTTCAGATTGTCTGAACATTATTAGAAAATATGCACATCTTCAAGATGCCTTAACATTCACATTGAACAAAGCACAAGACAAGAATGCTGACAAATCCATCCATCTGAGGTTATGGCTTCATATCTTGGGTTTTACCCGAGGGCTGGGTGGGTGGATAATGGTGAGGAACAGAGATGGATGTAGCTCACTGACGCAAACCTTGCTCCCTGCATCAAGCTGACTATCAATATCACTCACCACAATTTGAAGGAACACCATCATCATAAGAAAGTGTGTGAACCACTGCACAAATCCCGCAATCACAAAGGCTGAGGCCCGTGACGACTGAAGGAACATTGCCACCACAATTACATTTGGAAGTGGACCTTGGTGGAAAGAAAGGGTTCATGACATGGATCACAGTTTCACCATAGAACTCAAATATTCCTTTATCCAATTAATATCTTGCATATCACTTAAGGGGATCAGAACATAATGTGAGCAATTACCTGGCCCAATGGAGTGTGCTATGACAAATACTTGCACTAAAAATAGGTTGACATACGCCATCTCGTCAATGGTGTCCTGTTAGAGAAAGCATTTCAGTTATGTACATATGATATTAACAGGTGCCCCTTATCTAGTGCCGGGATAGTCAATGTTGCTAGACTACGGTTCACATCATCCCTCACCACTTTCCATGTTAGTTGGGCCTGATGGGAGTTGGACTCTTAACATCAATGGGACAGCAACCACTTTGGCTAGAATTGCTGGCCAATTGAAAACAGCAGGTGAGACAGAACACCAAGATCTCCATCTCTCTGAGTTGTCTTGCAACATCCATTTGACTTTCACAGATGGGAGACTATGTCCATTCTTAGCCATTCCCTTCAAGCCTTTGCACAAAATCCAAATGAATTGTATAAACCAAAATAACTTTTCTCTCAAGTCTCCTTCTACATATGTACCCATCAGCATATACAGTCAACTTCCACTTTATTGCTATTACATAGCACGGAGTATAGGGGGAGCAAGAATGGGGCTAAATGACAGGCCATTTGGTGATTCTCAACTCTCAATTACAAACCTCCAGTTCCAGGGCCAAGGTTAACAGAACACAGACGATGCTGCACATCGCAAAGCCAATCAGAAGCAGATACCTATGTCCCTTAGAATCAGCGAGATACATCTAGAGAATATAAAGAGGAGGAAAGGAGATACAGGAAAGTACAATGCAACATAAGTTAGCTTATATTGGTTCCTGTAAAACTGGTAGAAAGCATTATTAAAGCTAATATTAGGAAGCATATGGATGAACATATCAGTGTGGCTTCTCTATAGGCAAGTCCTGGCTAACTAACCTTTTAAGAGTTCATTGATAGTGTCAGTGTAAGCAAGCTAATGCTGTACAGTGGTACCTCTGGTTAAGAACTTAATTCGTTCTGGAGGTCCATTCTTAACCTGAGGTACCGCTTTAGCTAATGGGGCCTCTCGCTGCCGCCGCACAATTTCTGTTCTCATCCTGAAGCAAAGTTCTTGACCCGAGGTACTATTTCTGGGTTAGCGGAGTCTGTAACCTGACACGTCTGTTACCTGAAGCGTCTGTAACTGGACATACCACTGTGTAACCCAATTATGTATTTGGGGGATATTTTTCAACATAACTTCACACCCTCTGAGAACAGGATTCTGGACTAGATGGGCCTTTTTCTCTTCTAGAGTCTCCAACAAGAATCTTTCAATGTTCCTGTTATGAGAGCAATGAGGTGTGTAGTAAGTAGTGTTAGACTCGATTGTTTGGAGTATAAAATGAGAATGCCCCATGCTCCTTGGAAGAAGGGTGGGATAAAAATGCTAATAAAATTTTAAAAGCCAGTGGTGTTATGCGGTGTGGGTTGGACTCTGGTAGAAACAGACCACAAAACCAGGAGTGAGGGGCAAAACTATAGTAGACAAAGGGAAGAGGAAAACCCCAAGTACTTAAAAGGACCAGATGTATTTTATTCCTACATTTC